CAAAGCATAACTTAAACATCACCACAACACAGCTGCAATGCAAATACATCTTAAAAGACTCTCAGGTTTGACGGACTTACGAAATAATGCGAGGTTAGGTGCCATTTAGCCTATTGAAGTAGCTTAGTTTGTCTTCGTCGACACTTTCACTTTAAATCATTTTTCTTAATTTATTTTCTACTTCCTTTATGTCAAAATATTCACTGATAAAACAAAAGTTAAGCCCTGTCACTTACATAATACGGTACATATTAACCATATAATATTTTTCTGAAAATGTGTGTTTTGAGTAGGGCTGAACGATATTCAATATTTTTCCGATATTTAAGGGTTGAAAATGAACTATATAGGAAAATATAACTTATTATCTACCAAGAAAGTCTGTTAAATAAGTTGGAGGAATTGCCGTTAGTTGTGCCCACAAACTCAAAGGGGTGCGACAAATCACTTGCTTTGGCTCAATATCCTCTCTATGAAATAGAGATATTTCCCTACAGTGGATGATGAATGTCTTTTCCTGACCAGTTCATTTTCGTTTTTCTCCTTGTCGCTCATTTTTGTTTAATTTCTCACAAACACGCCATACGGTCTATGAGTGAGCCAAACAGCAAGGACAAGAATGATTATGATTGTCTCAGAGAACGCATGACGAGCTAATGCAAAAGTGCTATTTTTTACGTATGATAGATAATTTTGAACAGGAACCATCTTTAAAATTGCAAAGCTTGCTAAATTTTTTCCTATGATTGACTAAAATGTTATAACACAACATATTGATGGTTTGAACCCGGCAGACTATTGCAGTCCTTGTGATGTGATGATTGTATGTGCATGAAATTCCATATCAATATTAACATGACACGTGTGAGCCTATCAGGGTGGCACAGAGGTGGAGCGGGTAGCGCTGTCACTGCTTCTCCACCCTGTGTGTGTCTTTTGTCTCCTTCCACTCAGGGGTGGACTAACTCCTCTGGGGCCCTAGGCTGACATGGGTATGGGGACACTGGAGATATTTTTGGAGCAGAAAGAAAATGAGAGGAAAGTATAAATAATGGAACATCAATAATATTCTAATCAAAGTGCGGGATGCCAGCGGTAAAACCTACCGATCAGGATCGGGGTGGGAATGCTGTCAGTAAAATTCGCTGATGGAGGCTGAGGGGGGGTTATTGCGCAAGAGGATCAACTGGTCAAATTTAAGAAGTTCATCTGTTCACTCTTTAGCTAGGGTTAGTCTTGACGTTTGGCATACTTTCATTTAATTGTGTTCTTTCCACATTTGTTCACAAGTCGTCTACCATGCATTTTCATTTTGTTACTTTGTACCAATTCACTTGGCAGTGAACAACCAATAGACTCCAGTGGTAGCAGAAAGCTGGGCAGCAGTAAGTCTGTTACAGCTGGGATGGGGGCAACTTTGTCTACCCTGAAAACTGCTGCTAAAAATACAATTAAAATACAGGTTGCTGTCATTGAAACGATCATATTATGTTGTATCCATAAATGTAAATGTAACCCTTGCAGTACAGTAAGTCCACCCCTGCTTCCACTGTCCAGAGACATGCAACTTAAATGAATTTGAGTGCCTTAAATTGACTGCATGTGTGACTCTGCAATGGTTGGTTGGTTCCTGGCTTGTGCCAAATACAATGTGTCTAAATTATATTATATTATATTATATTATGTGATGAATCGTCAGATGAATTGCTGGAATACTGGATTATTGGTATAATCGATAGTGACATCCCTAATTCATACTGTATATATATCCTAGGACAATGCCTACAGAAAGCACCTTTCTCCTCAGGTTAATGGGTTTTATGTCGGGACCGTTCACTGTTTGGTGTCATCAGATCACTGCACCTTTTTTTCCCAGGTTACTCAGGGGCTTTGATGTAAACTCCATGTGTATTTATCTATGGTTTATTCTTAGCAGTGTCTTCCTTGATGACTAATGCATAGTTGGAAACATACAAGCATCATCTTGGTGACGTTGATGCTCCTTGTATTTCCTGATGAACAAACTGTTCACAAGATTTTTAGAGAATTATATCAGGGCTCACGGGGATGTTTAGATGCAGCCCTTTCCTGATCTGCACATTTCAGTAATTTTATCCCTGACTTGCTTTGAAAGCTTCTTGCTCTTCGTGACTGACTCTCCCCTTTTAGCTCACAAAGACAGTGCTTTCCTTCTGAAATCTCGAGAAGCTCAGATAATACTGTAATATTGTGCTCAAACCTGAAAGGGGATAAACTGCTTAGGCAACATATATTTTTTTTCATATTACCCATCAGAATACAATTTTTGAGCACATGGAGAAGATTTTGTATGTAACAAATGGTAATTGCTGTGTAAAATATTACAGTGACAATATAACTGCAAGCCTGAGAATAATTTTAAAAAGTTACACTCGATATAGACACATGAAAGCCATCCATGGCCAAAAAAAATCTAAGATCTATTTTCAGATTTTACTCATAAGTCACAGAGTTGCACACTGACACAATTCATAGCCTAAAGAATCCTACGGAATTTGCCAAGATGCAAGGATTACAAAGGTTTACATGCAACCGGTGAATGACAGAAACAAGCAAGTGAAATGGAATGGTGTCCCAGCGCTGTTTTACAGAACTAACACCCAACGGACAAAAGAAAACCTACTAGTGTATTCAGTATCAAACGGTGCCCCCAAAAGAATGATATAGGTAGTCAATAGGCATGGACAATTACAGAAGGTATAAAGGGGCACATCACTAGGTGAAGATGTACAGCAGGGCTGCAGAAAGGTGCAGGACAGTAGGGGGGTAGAGAAACACAAGGTTAATTATACAATAACTCAAAATGAGGACAAGGCACTTTTCGAAAGAGTGACCTGAAGCACAGTGACTAAAAGCCCCTTAATACAAAGGTGCTCAGCTAGACAAAGCCAATACCTGGTGAACGGGGGGGAGGCCCTACTCAGGGCCCCTCGTGCAAATCTCCTCCAATATTCACGCTCCAGACCTTTCCAATGATCCTATCTGGATTTTTCAGCTAAAGATAGCGAACTGTTACATAAACTGAGTTACAGGCAACCCCAGGAAAACATAAGAGGTCAACCGGAGGTCAGCATAAGAGGTCAGACCACCCTGGAACATTCACTGTCTACCATTGCTGTTTATTCAAAGATATTTGGCAGACCTGCTGCAATCGAAATTGCTCACATTTATTCAAATACATTTTTCCTTTGAGAATGGCCTGGTAAACTTTGATAGACTGGCCAATCTATGTTTAAAAACAGCTCATTTTCTATGTGAATGTTAATAGTGTAGCTGACATATGCATTTGGGTCCGAGGTGTTAAACTGCATAAAAATGTGCAGGGGTAAAAGAGGTACATTCATTAAAAATATTTTTATGTATTCAATCATCCATCCCTTTTCTATACCCACTTGTCCCATTCAGTGTCAATGGGTACAAACCAGGGAACAACTGAGGACAGAGCACCAGCCCATCACAGAGCACCAGCCCATAACAGAGCACCAGCCCATCACAGAGCACCAGCACATCACTCACACCTACAGGCAATATATTAACTCCAATTCACCTCTGAATGTTTTTGGACTGTGGGAGGAAACCGGAGTCCCCAGAGGAAACCCCACAAGGACATGGGGAAAACAACTGTACAACAACAGCGATGGAGAGGCTGCGTGTGGCTCCGTGGGCCGAGCCTCTGTGCCTACCATCAGAAGGCCGCCAGTTCAAGCCCATCCTCAACATGCCTCTGGGTCCATCAGCAAGCCCCCTAACCTTCAGCTCCCTGGGTGCTGACACAGGTGGCTGCCCTTCATGGCCAAGCCTGCTCTCATAGAGAGCAAGAGGGGGGAGATGAAAAGAGATCTTCCCCATGGAGATCAATAAAAAGTATCAATCACCATTAGTTAAAACATGTAACCTCCACACACATGGAGCCCTCATAGAGACTCAGACCTCGGGTGCTAATCCACTGTGGCACCATACCACCTTGTACTCATTCATTCCGGTTAAATTTATGAAATCACAGAGGGATAGTACCAGTCATGTCACTGACAGTGTAATGCACAACTGTTTGTGATAAAGAGCAGTTTACCACTGTGTCTGCATATCCCTCTGAATTCAGCTTATGCATTCAAAACAAACTACCAGACACAGAGTAATAATGTCAAGTTTGCTTTAAATGACCCTCGGAACTTTGGTCCTGTAGTAAACCTCACAGATGGTGAGTTTCCATTGGTGACAACAACCTGAAGCTGGTACGGAAATGGTAGGACCAATCAATGTGATATATAGTACTAGTCAGACCTGAACGGCTGATAAAATGAATCGATATGACATATGGTGCCAGACAGACCTAAGCAGTTGATAGGACTAATCAATTTGACACTCTCTATGAAGATGTTGTGACAGTAGTAATCCCTCAGAGAGCCAGATCACTTCTGTTCAATAACTAAATTGTCACTGCCTCAGTGGGAGGGGTGGGAACAAATGGTTTCAGGGCGATGACAGCCTCATTCTGAAATCCAGGGCAGACATCAGAATTCAATCTGACTGGGCCATCAGTCATCAGCTGCCAATGTGGCCTTTTCCATGACAGCCCACTGCAGCACAACCCCCCAGTTCACCTTGCTTTCAGAAAGTCCCAGGAATTAGACTCGTAAAACTGCTAAATGAAGACTGTAAACCCTTGGTTATATGGTGGCTGCCAAAGCTCTGACACTCACACTACTCATCACAACTACTCCCACAGGTAGAATTCAGCACCCCAACCAGGAAGCAGACTGGTCAGCGGTGCTGCTGCCTTCACTGGATGACACCGGGCCATGAGAGAAGAATGGACTGGAGTTAAGAATGGACCCACCTTCCATATTTAGATCCATCCTTAGTCTGCTCTTTAACAAACTGTTATTCTGTTATTCTTTATTGACCATCTAAAAAATTGTCTGCCGACTGATAGTTAGTGCTTCTGATTGCGTTTAACTTACAGGCAATGGACAGCTTAGCTTCTCTGCTAACGATGGTCCCAAAGGAGTTGGCAGCTAGACACTGGTATGTTCCCACATCCTCCTCTTTAAGCAGGTTGCTGATTTTCAGGTTGCCGCTATAGAAGCTGTAGCGGGATCCTGCTGTGGGGACAACGCTGCTGCCATTCAGCTTCCATCTGAAGGAGAGAAAAAAACAGAAGTCATAACATTTTCACAAGCAGGGGTCCATTAAAGCTAAAGCTTGTTTTAGCGCGTTTAGCACATTCACAGCTGTCTGATTTAGTCTGACTGATCTATCATTTTATGCATGTCAAATTTTACAAGTGTAATCTCTAAAGGTTTCCCTGAAGACATAAAAGGAGTTCCACAATAATGTGGCTGAGCCCTGTCCATGGTATAGTAATCATTTCTTGGTTGTCAGGGATTGATAGTCATAAGGCATTGATGAAATGCGCATGCAACTCAAGCACACAAACATTCAGTAGGCGATTTGTTCATTTTTCACTGAGGGATGGCTCAATGGGGGCACGCCCCTGACCGCATACAACCAATCAACATACACAAAAATGAGTAAAATGTATATAGTATAAATACAGCATTTTTAAATTTTTAATATAAAAGAAGGTCCTCTGTGGTGGACTGGCGGCCTGCCCAGGGTGTACCCCGCCTCTCGCCCAAAGATGCTAGGATTGGCTCCAGCTTCCCCGCGACCCAGGTGGATTAAGCGGTATAGATAATGGATGGATGAATGGAAGAAGGTCCTCCTCTTCTTTTTGATGCCAATTGCTCTTCACACATTCAGAATATAAGCAAAGCTGCTTGCCCTAATGTGTGCTTCTCTTCCTGTCTTGCTCGCCCTAGCGTGTGCCTCTCTTCCCGTCTTGCTCACCCTAGCGTGTGCTTCTCTTCCCGTCTTGCTCGCCCTAGCGTGTGCCTCTTCCTGTCTTGCTTGCCCTAGCGTGTGCCTCTCTTCCCGTCTTGCTCACCCTAGCGTGTGCCTCTTCCTGTCTTGCTCGCCCTAGCATGTGCCTCTCTTCCCGTCCTGCTCGCCCTAGCGTGTGCCTCTCTTCCCGTCTTGCTCGCCCTAGCGTGTGCCTCTCTTCCCGTCTTGCTCGCCCTAGCGTGTGCTTCTCTTCCTGGCTTGCTCGCCCTAGCGTGTGCTTCTCTTCCTGACTTGCATTGGGTCTCACTAAGTCTGAGGACTTATCTAGCGCTGACCACAAGGATGCTCACAACACACACAGCACTCTCTCTGCTGGGGGGTGAAGTGGGGGAGCCAGGTTAACATGGGGGGTGCATTTTTGAGAGATGACATCCCCCCTCATATCAACTACAGCACACATTCACACAGTCATTTGGATACAGAAAGTTTCTTCAAGCAGAGTCTCAATATCATACCTTGGTATACCAACCAGTACTGTCAATTGCCTACCTACTGCTTGAAGCTGTGCATCTATGGATAAAAGAACACCTGTGAAAAGCTGGGATATGGCTGCATCCTCAGGCTCAGTGCTCTAAATAACTACAAAATTGTTCTATAAGCTGCATCTCTTTGCTTCACTATGGAAGTCTGAGGCCTTCATCTTGGTGAAAAAAACACCTGTCAGTATGCAGTGAATCTCACCTTTCATAGGATACAACCCAGCTCTGGCCCCATCAGTCTTGCAATCAGTAGAGTCAAGCAGCATAATCACATGCTTTCATCACTGTATATGTTGTAATTATAACAGAACAACTGGGTCCCTTCATTACCCAGGAACAGTAATTAAAACAAATGGTGGTTCCTTGTGTATGCTGTGCTATACAATGAGATCATTACTGATGCTGGCAATAATCAGCGCGATGTATTATTCTTGTAGGACTGAAGCAGATGCTGCAACTTTCTGCATTCGTGGCTCTGTCCCTTTCTGCATTTACGACTCTGTCCCTTTCTGCATTCGCAACTCTGTCCCTTTCTGCATTTACGACTCTGTCCCTTTCTGCATTCACAACTCTGTCCCTTTCTGCAGTCACGACTCTGTCCCTTTCTGCAGTCACGACTCTGTCCCTTTCTGCATTTATGACTCTGTCCCTTTCTGCAGTCACGACTCTGTCCCTTTCTGCAGTCACGACTCTGTCCCTTTCTGCATTCACGACTCTGTCCCTTTCTGCAGTCACGACTCTGTCCCTTTCTGCATTTATGACTCTGTCCCTTTCTGCATTCGTGGCTCTTGCCCTTTCTGCATTCGCATTCAAATTAAACTTGGAAAAAGATACATGAAAGTGACAAGTAAGTTAGATTGGGGCTTTTTTCCCTTTTGTTGTGAGAAAGCGATTACCTGCCATGATTGGACCAGCGCTGATTAATCCCTCATTACGTCCTCGGGGTTTTGCTGAATTACTGTCTGACTTAAGGGCTGCCCTGCTGGGTGCTGAAGCCTTTTATCTGAGAGCGATTTTGGAATGACATATTTCTGCTCCCGTCGGTTCAGTCTCATAGATCAAACTCCCGCCCCCCCCCATGCCTGGAAACCTCTACAAATTGCGCAAAATTAAAAAGTGCCCACAAAACGGCAAGCCGGAAGCTCTGAGTCACTCATCTCTGCGGCCGACTCCTCCTTAAAGTCCAAAAAAATTTGCAATCTGTGTTTGCATTTGAGTGAAATAATATGGAAATCACATGCATAAATATTAATAAACATAACAACAGAGACAGCACTACCTCCAGTATCTGTTCAGTCCTTACAAGTCAGCCTGGTTACAATACCAGTGGCATGCTGGCTAGCAGAAAACAATAAATATTTTAATGCCATTAATGGCATTAATACCATACAGTGTCTCTTTTAGTCATCCAGCAACAACTTAATTATAGTGGATATGATCAAATCATGTGTCAGACAACCAAACAACTGCAAAAACTAAAACAGACTAACAAACTGCCACTGCTACAGAGCTAAGAATTTCTTCAAGCATCAAGGTAAAATTGCAAAGACACTGACTCATAAAATAAGCATAAGAATTAATAGTGTTTGCCTTATAAGATGTCAACTCGCATTTCATGCAAGGTGTAAACCCTGAAGGCAAAATGCTTCCCATCACAAATTATCTGCTGTAACACCTCAAGTGAAACTCCAGCCACGTGACCCGTTCACCAACCCTTTCTTCCCCATGTACACTGAAATGGGTTTCTGGAAGACATCCGGTTAGCCCCATACAACATATGCTTTGGCAAAGAGGAATATTCCTGTCTTTCATAACTCCTGCTGGAGGCCTAGTTGAAAAACAGATAGAACTACATAGATCCTGCTTCCCAAAGACATGTAGGGCTTCTCTACAATCATCATTGTGCTACACCCCCCTGCTGCCACAGCCCTCATTTTATTGTCACTCCTATACCTGCTATCGTGTCAGACGGCCCTGTTCTGAGCAACCTGGCCACTGGAAAAGACAATCACTGTCACAACAAGCTTTAAATGTCCATCCCCTTCAGTTGGCTTCACGTCAGAGAGCACATCTGTAGCCATTTTTACCGAACCCCACTGGTCGCTTTTTCATTAGCTTTGAATGGTGGGTCCGCATGTAACTGTGAGGTGGAATGACACTTAAGTTCAGGGACAGAAATGAGCTTAAAGCTCTGCTCATTGGTATCTCCCAGCTTGGTGGCTTTTGTACAATCACATGCATGCATTTATCTGTGCTTGCTTACGCTCTGTGTAACAAAATGTTGATTGCATTCTATTATCTTGCTATTGTTTCTTCAGGCATGACAGTCCTCTGTGTGCTGTGAATTAAAATGTAGGACCCAGGCAGGGATTTGAAGTTAAACCAGCCATAATTTCAGCTGCTGACAGCTCAGGTGGCAAACTGGAGAGCTGGGAAGTGCCACTGTATTCTGGCCCCTGTCCCATGTCGGTGCTGGGTCCCTGGTATGCCTGCTTTATTAAAATCACAAACCGTGAGACAGTGCGGCCCACCCACTATCCCCAGCTCCAAAGAAGAATTCAGACGGAACTCTTAACTTTTAAATGAAGACCGAAAGAATAGTTTTTATAGGTATAATGACTCATATTACTGGGTCAATCATTGTACCCATTACTGATAGCATTTGAAAGGTGTCTAAATGATAGCGATCAGGAAAAAGTGAAGCTGAATCACATACCATTTTCAGACCCAATTCTGGAAAAAAAAATGTTTCCCATCCAAAGGAAGTAGTCATGACTGGCAAACAGTTATACATTAATTTTGATTGCTTAAGTGAGGTCAAACAAGTGAAGTAATACAAAATTACAGCAAACGAAATATGACATTTGTACGTTAGCAAGGTATCTCCTTTTTTATTGAAAAGCTGAGGACCGGCTGGGCATAGAACCCAAAACACACGTTATGCGCAATTTTAATCCATCCATTTTCCAAGACTTCTAGAGATGCTGATTCGCCTGAACCACGGGTTTGTGGACTGGGAGGAAGTCAGAGTAAACCAACACTGACACAGGTAAAGCAGGCGCTTCGCAATCAAGCCGGCACCCCCAGTGGTGAGAGGTCACAGTGCTGCCCTTTATGCCACTTCTATCCGGTCCTTCCTGCACATGGTGTTTGACCAAATTTATGCAAAGAAGGACCTGTGACAATAGCTGGAAAGGTGCACAGCTTCAGGGAGGCCGGTCCATCACAGCCTTATTAAACACGCATTTCTCGCCCTGCAGAGTGTACCAGCTAATCCACTATTGTATTTATCTGACATATACATTTTGAGATGTAATGCAAAAAGGATGATCCAGCCGGCTTAGATGAGCATTTAGGAAATAACAAAATACTAATAGCTTCTGATTTGAAGAGGGGCATTATTGCCTTCTATTAAGCAGGAAGCATTTACATTCCTCAAGGTGACAAAGGTATTTGCCAAACAAATAAAGCCCATTATATTAACTAATGAGACAGAGTGGAAGGCAGAAGGACTTAAATCTATGAATCTGCAAATGCATTGCCTTCAGGTGTGAGTGGACTGAAGGCAATGAGACACTACATTAGACAGATAGAAATCAGTGGAACAAATGCCTTGGCACTGCTGTGCAGGCATACAAAAAAATGGAAAAATGATCTCCAATGCAGCTCTTGGAAAATTAAACTGCAGCGTGTGACTAGGAGGGGCCGAAGAACGATTAATACACACTAATGTAGGGGCAGCTCTATCGTGAAA